GTCACGACAACAATACTTAATTCGAAGAATAGATTTACGCAGAATATATCTTGCGAGCCCTGAGCATACACAAAATGATTTAGGCTATTCGAGGAGAGCAGCTGCCGCTTTTTGGCCTCCATTTTCAACGTTGTCAGCACGATTGAAGGACGCAAGGCTCCTACTGGCTTGGGGCTTGGTTTCCCCGTTTTTGAATGCATTTTCCCGCTAACTAGTTCGTCTCCTTTCTTCTCCGGCCACGCCTACAGCACGTCACTCAGGGCGCTCGGAAAAAGATTATCGTCAGCATTCTGCAACTGTCCAACAGAGGCTCAGCTCTTGCGGCCGCAGAGTTCCGCCTCTCCCATTTGTCAGGACCTCCGTCAGGCGTGGCGGCCAGCAACAGCGGTTGCCAGCACGAGGCCTGCTGTGCCTCGAGTCCTCGTTTCGCCCAGGCCGCAGGGTCTACCAACGCGCTGCTCGAGGCCAGCGCCATCCGCTCATGTCTGGCCGAGGTACAGGCCTGTCTTGCCACGCCACTGCGTCCAACGCATGTGCGGTCAGCTGTCTCCAAGTCTTCTCCGGCCCTCTCGTCTCCGTCTCTCCCGGCTCCGGAGGCAGATGCACCGCCGCCGCCGCCGCTTCAGACAAGATTGGATCAGGAATTGAGAGCCAAAATGACGGCTGCACCAAGTGGCGGGGAACGCGAGGCGCAGATCCTGCGACAGAGGCTTCAGAATGAGTCTGTGGCCAGGCCAGACAATGGCCAACATTGGAAGGGACGGGAGCTGAGAGCATCTGAGGAATCCAGCCGATTCATTGCTCCGCCTAGCAAGTCCATAGACGAGCAAACCGGCTGGATCAGTTCGGGTGAGTATCTATTTGACGATACCGACACGCATATTGTCTTGATTTGTCAGGTACACCAATTGATCTCACTCGATCTCGCCTCAATTTGCTTCTTTAGAAGACAGACTACACTATTTTCGCTATTCTGGAAGTACCTTTTAGTGTATTCACAGTGAAGTCACACTTAAATACGTCTAAGTTGATGAAAGAATGACAGTGAATTTTCATACGATGCCATTGCATCTGACATTGTATTTGTTCCCGAACTGCTATTCTCATTCAGGATGGACTGCATCTTCTACCTCGCCTAGGTCGCATCAGCAACTCCAGTGGAAAGCGAACCGGCTATTAGCTAATGCTATTAGCTAATGCTATTAGGCTTACTAATAGTATTCGTATGTAAGTAGGATTTCAAGACTACCAGTAAATCAGTGTAATGAGATGTATTCACCCTATTTCGTGTAAGGTGATGAAGGACT